CCATCCCCGCGCCGGGCCACGTACCTGCCTGGCCGCGGGCCCCGCCGCCCGCACGCACGCACGCCGGGCTGGTGCAGGCGCCGCCGCGCTCCCTTTTCTTCCGTCCACGTCCCCTGGAGGACGTTACGTCAGCGGCGCGGGAGGAGCGGGGCCGCGGGGCCTCCGCTGTTGACGTGGGCGAGGGGCCGGCCCGAGCCACGCCGGCGGCGTAGACGCCCTCCGAGAAGCCCCGCGCTCCACGTGGCGCCCGGGTCCCGGGAGGAGCGTGCCTGGCGCGCGTCCAGCGGGATCCCGCAGGTGTAGGGAGCCCGGCGTCCCTCCGCTCCCTTAGGGGAGCGCTCCTGAGCGCGTCGGTGTTGACCGTTTCTGTTCCCGGCGCATATCGGAAATAGATGGAATCGACTCTCACGCAGCGCTCTCCCCTCCCCCCTGCAAACTTGGGACCTGCAATCAAATGATGCGTCCCGTGGTCATCTGGAGGTTTCCCCAAGGGTCCCAGCCCACCTCCAAAAAAAATATTGCATTTTAAAATAGTGTATTTAATCTGCGGCAATTGGAGCTATTCCAAAAGTGAATGAAGGCCCACCCTTAAAATTAGGGCCCAGGTCTGGAGAGGTCTGGAGCCAGCAGCTAGTGTGGTGTTTAAGGCGCTGGACTCCCACATAGCTGTTCACAACTTCAAGTCCCGGACCTGGCAGCTTGCTGTCTCACGTTCTCTATGTCTGTCTCTCTCTGTCTCTGGTGAGCCCTATAGTACATTTAAAATAATAATAAATAAAATTAAATACATAATTTTCAAAAGTGAGATCCCAGGGGAAAAAAAAAAAAAGAGAGATCCCAGGTTTTCTCCCTTCTTACTGTTTTCTTCAAAGGGCACCTGGCGGTGGGAGGGCAGCCCTTGATGGGAGGTTGGTGACAGGCAGATGCCTTGCCCCGCCAGCTTCCCTGACAAGGTAGCTGGGGCTATCTTCCTCATTTACTGGTTACTACTAATCCCCAGTGCAGAAGTGTTAGGAAGTAGCCCAATGGGAAGGATTTAAGTAGTGAGGGCTCTGCCTTCATGAATGGATTAATGCCATCGGAACAGGGCTCCTGGGCGTGGGTCACCTCTCCTGCTTTTCTGCCATGTGAGGACAGTGTTCTTCCCTAGCTTGCTTTCTGCTGAGGTTGCAGCAAGAAGCCCCCTGACAGATGCAGACACCTTGATCATGGAGTTCCAGCCTCCAGAACTGTGAGGAATAAATTCCTGCTCTTTACGAAGTTTCCAGGTTGTGGTGTCAGTGACAGCAGCCGTAATGGCTTTTTACAGGCCTTTTTTTTTCCAGGGCCCTCGGGTGG